GTGTAACCGAGATACTATGGTTTAAGTAACGCCGGTCAACATATAAATCTTAGGATAATTCTGTTAAAAAAAAATCTAATAAAAAGAGTCTTTGCTAGTTGCCAGTAAAGTAACCTTTAGCAAATAGCCGTTAATTAACATTATTTAGGTATTTCAATATCTAATTAAAGCCGCGCGACATAATATCGGTACAATTTCACAAGCCAAGAAAAGTTTTTTTTTTAAATTTGAAATGTTAAATTTTTGGCCAGGCTTCCACATGAGATTTCTATTTGATCAAAAATCCAGACCCCGGCGATACAAATAGACTAACGTTACTTCTATTAATCTATTTTCCAATTATCTTTTCATACCAACAATATACGGGGTGTTTGGATGATTAATGGTTTACTATATGGGTGATTCTACAAAAGTTGGACAACTTGATGTCATCAGTCAATATTTTTAGTATATTACAAAAAAAAACAGGTCTACCCAATTTTAATGTATTTTTTCAAAAGCACGTTTGTAGAAAAACATAATAAATATTCAAAACATCAGTACCTTGACGTGTCACAACTCCTGAATCAAATATTTGAGTGATTTTATTTTAAAATATATTCAATTTATCTTAAATTTAAAACTATAAAACATTAAATAATGTATTTTTCATATTTCTTCATAGATTCGAATAATAGCAATTTAAAAAAAAATTGATAATCTTTGTACTCACTTTTACCCGTCAGTTCTGTGTCCAATGTTAAAATTCAAAATTCCTGCGAAATATTGAAGTTTAAACGTCAAGTCCTCGTTTTAACTCAAGTGTTGGTAAAAAATTACCTACAAAGCCCTCCCTTTGCACGACAGTCATCTTGAAAACAATGCAAGCGGCGAAGTTGTGGTGAATGCACGTATAGTCAGTCAAAATTTCAGTACTGTGGTGAGTAGTTATTTTCTTACGTATATATATTTCATTGTAATTTATATAAGGCTATATGTGATTTGTTGATAAGTAGCATCCACTAATACAAAATATTAGTAAAATACTTTATTCCGAATTATAATCTCAAATTTGTATCCCATTCATCAGTACCGTGTCGTCAGTTCCTTGTTCGATGTTTCGGTTATCTTTTTTTCGCAAACTTCAATTTAAATTCTGCTTGCGCAGAAATTGTTTATTTAATGTCATTATAACCTCATATAAATTTGGTGTGGGTCCCATATCTAATAATTGAGATATCGGTATACCCAAAATCCACCAGCCGCCACTGATGTGTGGTATTATTTGATTTTAAGATATTTAATGTATAATATGCTCAAAGTTGCAATAAATCTTATATTTTCCAATAAATTATGTATTTAATTAGTACCCTGGTATACTCGTCACTTCCCTTGCATTCAAATTTAGAAAACAAAGATATTTCAGAAACTGTTTGAAAAAGTGACTGGCCCGGTCTGGAACAGTATATTTATTACATATATTATCTATGTTCTCATAACAAAATACTGTTTATTTTCTTCGAAAACTATATAAACAAAATGAGGTCAAAAGTTGCCCAACTTTTGTGGAATCACCCTTATATTTTTGAACATTTTTGTGTCAAGCCAAAGTGTGTCAACTTTAATATTAAGTAATACAGTTTAACACATTTTTGCTTACCATCCACGTCTTCAATTGTTAATTTGCAATTCAAATGGGTGTTAAAACAATTAAACGAGACACAGTGTATATGTCTGGAATTGTCTATTTTTGAGTGAATGCGGGATAAAAACAGTTGCGTAACATTAAAGTGATTCATTTGTTTCACTTGGCTTTGTAAGCCAGAAATAATAGGCGAACAAATGTCTTCTCATTTTGCATAGTTTTAAACAAAAAAATAAGATTTATACACTTTTTGTTACAAATGTTAAACCAGAATATTTTAAATATTCCAATTTCCTCAAGTTGTAATTTTGATGGTCTAAATGTGTAGAATAAAAAGATAATTATATATACACACATCCGCTGTTCTTAAAAATGACCCAAAAAACTTTAACGTAATTACCAAAACATCTGAATATTTCTTGTTTTACTAGAAAATGTTAATTAGATCCACACGCACAGTGATACGTATAACGAAAAAAGTGGCCGCATTGTGAATTTATAAAATACAATGGTGGTTTGTTCTACATTTGGTTGAAAGGGTACAGAGTTTTTGTTAAAAAGTTATGAAAATTATTTATATTTACGCAATTCATTCAAGATACTAGGTGTGTTCAGAAAATAACGGGATTTGTTAAATTTCGCGGGTTCGGAGGGTCCGGTTGTCATAAAATTTTCTTTATTATGTTGGTATTCATGCCCCCGAAGTATGATAAAAACTTTAGCTGTTTTCATTGTTTACTTTGTCTGTGGCAACCGCTAAGGTTAGACGTGTTTTTAGCTCGGCGATTTTTCGTTCGTTAAAAGAAATGGATCAAAGAATTTGTATCCAGTTTTGCTTAAAAAATGAAATAAATTCTGTGAAATGTTAACAAGGCCTATAGTGAGTCTGCTATAAGTAAAACAAGAGTTTACAAGTGGTATAAGAGTTTCCAAGATGGCCGTGAAGACGTTGAAGATGACGAACGCACAAGCACATTAACAACCGATAAAAACATGGAAAAAGTGGAAGAAATGGTAATAAACCATCAGAGAAGTCGCTGATGATGTTGGTATATCGATTGGCCCATCATAAAAACATGGAAAAAGTGGAAGAAATGGTAATAAACCATCAGAGAAGTCGCTGATGATGTTGGTATATCGATTGGCTCATCCCATGAAATTTTTTCGAATGTTTTGGGTAAGAAACGCGTGGCAGCAAAATTTGTTTTAAATTTTGAACAAACTTTTTGGCCAAAAACAATACTGTAATGATGCCCCAGCCTCCATATTCGCCAGACATGCCTCTGTCTGACTTTTTCCTATTCCCAAAAATAAAGAGAACCTTAAAGGGCCGTCGTTTTGCAAGCATAGATGACATTAAAAGCGCATCGCTGAAAGAATTAAAGGCTATCCCAAAGATCGAGTTTTAGAAGTGTTTCGAGTATTGGAAGAAGAGCTGGCACATGTGCATAAAATCCAATGGGGACTATTTTGAAGGCGACAACATTAATGTAGACGAATAAATAAATATTTGTTTCAAAAAACGAAAATTCCCGATATTTTCTGAACACACCTCGTAAACAAAAAAAACAATAAATCTTGGGGACATATTTTCCAAGTTGTGTGCATATGTGCGTCCAGTAAAAATAGACCAAAAAATGCACCAACAATTATTTCTTACACCAAAATACCAGAAATGCATCTGACATATTCTATTTATTATATTCCACGGTCCTTTAAACATATTTACAGTAAAAAACGTTTTACGTTTTAAATTTATATTTTATATAAATTGTGATATTTTAGGTTCTGCTATTTTAATATCATTATTTTTTTAAGCATTTAGTAATTCTCTACATAATTACATTGAAATAATCAACAAAATTTTCGGTCGCCACACCTTTATTTTAAACATTCGAATGCCGAATTTTTATCTAGGTTATAGATAAATAACAATTGGCACAACTTAATAACTAATAATTGATAAAATCGAAAAAAAAGAAAGTAGAAATAACAAATAAATAAATAAAAAACTTTATTGCGTTGTTAAAATCGATTTAATTTTTAAAACAATAAATCATTTTTAAGTGGGACAAATTTTTGGATAATTAATAATTAATAAATAATTAACTTGTTTAATCATGAAAAACAACAATTAATTAGTTTTTTGTTTTTAAATTAATTAAAAATATACTTAACTACACAGTAAAAAATTTTGCCCGTGTAAATTTTTTAGTGTAGGGGTAAAAATATTAGAGTTGATTTGTAAAGTTACACTACAAAATACACTAGGTAGCATTTAGTGCTTATTAACTTTATTAAACACATTTAAAGAATATGAATATTATTCATTGGTACATTCACACTATTTATTATTAAAATAAATCAAAAGGGTAGAAAAACTTAATGCGAGTGTTTATTACCCCTTAATGTGTTAAATAGTGACAAAATGTACACTACAGTGCATGCCAATTTCTTTGTCTTTTTTGATGTTACTAAGAGCTCTTTTTTCTTTACACTACTAGTGCACATTGTATCACAATTAAAGTTAAATTACACCAATAGTAGCAAAATAGACTAAAAAAACTGGTAAAAACCGAAATGCGTTTTAAAATGTTTGGTTGGTACCTATCTACCTACGCAGTGCATATCCGGAGATACCGCGTTGTGGAAGTGTGGCATTTTTGTTCAGTAACTGAACTTCAGTTAGATTTTAATTACCGTGAATCCATAAGGGGACATTCTTATTTTTTGCTAAGTATTATACTTCCTTTTTCTTTAAGCCTTAATACTCAATAAATACCAATATGTTAAACGGATGTCCATACCCGACCTATATTATATATCAATAATAACGGGTACTTGTAACATTAATAATATAAATACATACACACTTGTCTTACTTTTTATTTTCAAGCGTAATGGTTGTTATATTAACCTATACCTACATTTTTATTAATATTATGGAAAATTTGTACACGTGTGGTAAATCCCCGACATACAGCCGCCTGACGCCTCTCCACCAATGGGATCACCCATTTTTTATAACAGAAAAATGGATTACTGATGAATTCTCAAGATAATTCATTGCTTACAAGTTGACAGCCAGTAAAACATTGCATTGATCTAAAACTTTTACGTTTTAAGGAACGATTTTGCTTAAGTCAGCCGTACGACTCAAATATAAAATTATATTTTAAAAGGCACCGATTTTGATAATTGTCATAGATTTTTGTTCCAAATAAATGTTTCTCTTTATTTACCTTTTCGTTTTATTCACTACCACCAATAGGTTTTACTCAAATAATAGTGTTAATTTACACTAGAAGTGTAGAAGTACACGATTTAAGGTAAATTAACACTTTTTAATGCAATAAAAATAATAATAAAAACTTACCACTTAGGGGGTGATTCTCCATGGGAGGGGGGCTGTTGGATTCAGTCTTTGTAATTTGGGAGAAGGGAGGCATGTTTGGAAAAATTCCCTGAAAAAAAAATATTAAAATTATTTTATTAATCAACAGTTATATCAGATAAAACAAGCAAATTTTTGGTGTGAAACTTCCATACAATTAAATTTGACTTATAAAAGAATTACTTTTTTTTCTAAATGTGAATCTAATTTTTTTTTACTGTTGCAATAATTAAATAGCATTGTTACTCACAATTATAATTATAGTGAATTTAGGTAAAGATATTAATCGGTCTAATTAAGAGTGGTAAAATGTTGAATACAAATTTTAGGAAATGTAGTGTTTTTTATTTTAGATTACGATCAAAATGGGTTGAAATATGAATTGTTTTGTTAATTATTAGGTGGTTTTGTTATTTATTAGGTAATGCAGAAGGAATTAAAATGTTATAAAAATTACGATTTAAAAAAAAATATCTGTACAGGGTGTTTTTTATACATATTTATCGTTATGTGATTTCAAAAATATTTAATTTGTATATGTTTTGTATTAAACATTTTATTTTAACGTAAAAATCATAGTTGCCAATCAATCAATTTTACCGATGCTTTTTTGTTATTTAATTTTTGTTATAAAAATTACTTTATTAGACCATGGATGCTGGTTTTTTTTAATTTAAATATTCCATTAAATAAAAATAACGAAATTGTCACAATTTTACAAAAAAAAGTACAGTAATTATTTTTTACTCCTCTATTTCAAATATTTAATCAAAAATATATTTTTTTTCAAGCTGCCATGATATACAACCTTATATGCATGTATAGAGATAGTTGAAGTGCGTCTTTTTCATTAGCGGCAGACAAAAAACTCAAAAAAGCCTAGGGATAGAAGTAAATCCATAGGTGACTCAATAGACGTCAAATAATAAAATTTATTTAGCATTTCATACAAAGCAATCACGATGTATTAATTATATTAATTATAATCGCACGGAATATTTAGTGATTATTTATTAAATTTTAATTGAACGAAATAAAGAACAACTAGTTTATTAGTATAATATTATGATGATAGACGAGTCGCCAATGTCGGAACTCCAAACAAATGTCAGTACGTCAAAATTAATTCAAGCGCAGCATTTTGACAGAGCAGTGTTTATTTTTAGTTTAGGATATTTATCGGCATTGCATTACATGTAAGTAAGGGTTATAAGTTTTTTTTTAGTTTTTATCAATAATTTGTAATGCTTTTAGCCAAAATTTTATACCACATGAGTTATATGTAAATAAAATAATTATATTGCTTATCCTATTTATATCACGCCCTTGAAAAAAAAATTGTATATTTGGAGTAGAAGCTCTTTTTGTGCTTCGTACAGTTGCCTGCCTCAGCTACGCTTCGGCCGTCAATCTCTGTACTCACCACAAAAAGAGTCACTTCTACTCCTTATGACATAATCTACTATAATTTAAAATAATAATGAAAAAACAATCCAAATAAAAAACACATAATTTATTTTAAAAAATAATAAAAATTGAAATAAAAAAAATTACTAAAAAATTTAAAATATCAAAATTAAGAAAAAACAAAATAAAATAATAACCTAGGTAAATAATAAAAAAAATGAGTTGGGTACTTTAACGACATGCGCAGAAATACAATAAACCAGTACAACCCCAACCCACTGGGCCTTTTTGGGTTTTTTATATTTTTTTAATTCTATTTGAGTGCACTCATGAAAAAACAACTTTTAATTGCGTTGTCAACTTTGAGTTAAGTTAAGTAGAAAAAAAAACTATTATATAAGAAGGACCAATGAGCGATAAAAAATAATAAAAAAATTCAAAATTTCAAAAAACAAAAAAAACGTTATTCATTGAAAAAAATTGTCAAAAACCAAAAAAATTACAATTTATAAAAAAATATAGAAATTTTACTGCATTTTAACAAAAATTGTAAATTTTGTGGTTTTGATAATTTTTTTTCTTTCAATATCGTTTTTTTTGTTTTTTGGAATTTTGTATATTTTAATTATTTTTTACTCCTCTATTTCAAATATTTAATCAAAAATAAATTAATTTAATATAATAATGAAAAAAACAATCCAAATAAAAAACACTTCATTTATTTTAAAAAATAATAAAAATTGAAACAACAAAAATTACTAAAAAATTTAAAATATCAAAATTAAGGAAAAACAAAATAAAATAATAACCTAGGTAAATAATAAAAAAACTTTTAATTGCGTTGTCAACTTTGAGTTAAAACACCCTGAAGAAAAAAAAACAATTATATAAAAGAAGGACCAATGAGCGATAAAAAATAATAAAAAAAAGCGAAATATCAAAAAACAAAAAAAAACGTTATTGATTGAAAAAAATTGTCAAAAACCAAAAAAATTGCAATTTCTAAAAAAATATAGAAATTTAACTGTATTTTTTCAAAAATTTCATGGTTTTGATAATTTTTTTTCTTTCAATATCGTTTTTTTTTGTTTTTTGGATTTTTGTATATTTTAGTTATTTTTTACTTTTCTATTTTAAATATTTAATCAAAAATAAATTAATTTTATATAATAATGAAAAAACACATAATTTATTTTAAAAAATAATAAAAATTGAAATAGGTAACAAAAATTACTAAAAAATTTAAAATATCAAAATTAAGGAAAAACAAAATAAAATAATAACCTAGGTACATAATAAAAAAATTATTTGGGTACTTTACCGACATGCGCAGAAGTACAATCATTCAGTACAACCCCAACCCTTTTTGGGTTTTTTTATATTTTTTTAATTCTATTTTAGTGAAAAAACAACTTTAAAAAAAAAATACTGATGATACAAAAAATTCAAGTATTTTTACAGTGAAATCTGTTTTAGCCAAGTTACTAAATGGTACCTATGATTTACGTAGTGCCAACTTAGATTTGGTAAAAAAGTACTCACCCTAGTATTTTTTTCTGCCAACCTGTCTTCGCACACTTTGTTCCTGATGGCTTCCAGTTCCAAGGAGGAGTAGGGAAAATCCGAGCTAAGATTCAAATTATTCGTGTTTGTTGTTGCTTTTTTCGACAAATTCAAACTTTTCTGTTGCTGTTGCTGCTGCTGGTGGTGCAAATTCTGTTGGCTCTGTATGTGCTGCTGGCTCAGCAGGTTCTGATGTTGCATCGTCGCCCGTAAAAAGGCGACTTGTTGATTTTTACTCAAATCCCCTATTTTAGGACTCAGAGGCGTCGAAGGTGGGGTGGGGGGCTGAGAGAGTGGGGACGAATTTTTCGCCTGTCCCTGCGCGTTGAGAGTCAAATTTTCCAACATTTTACCTGAAAAACGAAAAAAAAATTATATAAAATATTCGGATCTTAAGATTTAGAGGGTTGTCTGATAAATGGGGTGAAAGTGGCAACAAGTGTAACTTTGTCAGCTGTTTCGTAGTCTTTTGTTACCTTAAAGGTTACCTGCAGGTAACTTGATCGGTTTTTTGTGAATATAGGGCATAAAATATGATAATTTTGTAAGGGGTTGAGGTTTTTTCGTTTTTATTTCATTTTTTGCCCCTAACATTTCTTATTAAACAAATAATAAATTTAGACATCTAATATATAATTAGAACATAAAATTACAAAAATTAATTGAAAATTTTTTAATTAAATATAAAATTTTTCTACTAGCATTTAAAATGTACCTACGAAAGTATGTTGATTTTAGACAAAATCACAATCCACACAACAAGGTCTGTTCTATCTTGTACTAAAAATACATTTTTGTTGTTTACAATTTTTGTGCTTTGGGTTTGTGCTCTGTTTATACAGATTAATAATCGTTTTAAACGTTGTGTTTCTCATAGTAAGCCTTAAAAGAGGCCTTAAAGTGCTAAGAACAACCATTTTACTCCTCTATTGTAAAAAATAAACTTTATTCTATCAGGGCTGTCATAAAACTGTCAAATGTCAATTTTAAGGTTAAATTATAACCCACAAATTAACCTTCAAATTGTCATTTGACAGCCCTGATAGAATAAGGTATATTTATTATACCTTATTATAAATTAAAATCATGTACACTTTTAAAAAATATTGTAAAATTACAATTGTTTTGCAAAACAAAAGATGAGAAAAATTACAAATAAGTGTACGAGGTGTGTTAAGAAAATATCGGGAATTTTCGTTTTATGAAACATATATTTATTTATTCGTCTACATTAATGTTGTCGCCTTCAAAATAGTCCCCATTGGATAATATGCACATGTGCCAGCTCTTCTTCCAATACTCGAAACACTTCTAAAACTCGATCTTTGGGATAGCCTTTAGTTCTTTCAGCGATGCGCTTTTAATGTCATCTATGCTTGCAAAACAACGGCCCTTTAAGGTTCTCTTTATTTTTGGGAATAGGAAAAAGTCAGACAGAGGCATGTCTGGCGAATATGGAGGCTGGGGCATCATTACAGTATTGATTTTGGTCAAAAATGTTGTTCAAAATTTAACAATTTTGGAACACATTTTGCTGCCACGCGTTTCATACCCACAACATTCGAAAAAATTTCATGGGATGAGCCAATCGATATATTAACATCATCAGCGACTTGTCTGATGGTTTATAACCATTTCTTTCACTTTTTCCATGTTTTTATCAGTTGTTAATGTGCTTGTGCGTTCGGGGCGTTCGTCATCTTCAACGTCTTCACGGCCATCTTGGAAACTCTTATACTACTCTTGTTTTACTTATAGCAGACTCACTATAGGCCTTTGTTAACATTTCACAGAATTTATTTCATTTTTTAAGCAAAATTGGATACAAATTCTTTGATCCATTTCTTTTAACGAACGAAAAATCGTCGAGCTCATAAAACACGTCTAACCTTAGCGGCTGCCACAGACAAAGTAAACAATGAAAACAGTTAAAGTTTTTATCATACTTGCGGGGCATGTATACCAACATAATAAATTAAATTTTATGACAACCGGACCCTCCGAACCCGCGAAATTTAACAACATATTTAGTATTTTTTTTGGCAAAATATATTATAGTAATGAGCCTTATTATAATATATGTCGCTTTAACCAAGTTTTTCTAATGTTTCTAAAGGATCAAAAATACTTTTTTTAAAGGTTTAATAAAATTCTGTCAAGATTTCTCAACATATAGCAACATTACTAATACGTATGTATACACATAGAGACAGAGTATGAGTCAATAAATCTTTTTGATATTGTGCAAGAATTTATTGAAATATAAGTTTATTATAACAATCTGTATGGTAGCCAGGGCTGACAACACAAGAATTCAACACGCTATTTCTAATTTATTAGATCTATTGTCACCTATAAATAGAACGCATTATCTGTGCTGTGTCGGACAAAGGATCTAAGGCCTGTATTAGATCTTATTTGTTGTGCTTGGATATTAGTTCTCGGTATTGTTTAGTGATGTCAATTTTAGGTGGCTTCGTCATTTAAGTTTGCTGGAAAATTATGATTTACAAAAATAAAAAAAAATTATAGAGATGCAACTTTTTTGTCGTGTACATTACCATAGCAAATTTGCAAGTCAAATGCAGTTTGGATGTAAAATTTCAATAACTAATGTTAAAATAATAAATACAGCGTTGGTATTTATAAGCCTTTTGTTCAGTGCGCTCTTTGAGAACATTATGAATACAAAATTGCCCGTTTTCATATTTTTTAATATCAAAACAATTGAATACGAACGCGAGCGCTTTACGTATGCACGTTCGACGGTACTTTTTTTTTTAATCCCGATGTTTTTTTGTTTGTTTTCAACATGGTACCAAAGATATTGAAACAAAAGAACGCCCCGCCGATTGTTCCCATGGTATATGCATATACCATGCGTATTATGAATAAATGAACATTCCTGTCATTTAGGTTGTCAACTACTTAGCTTCTTAATATTGTCTAAAATTTTGGTATATGGGTGATTCTAACTCAACTGTTGGTAAAAAATTACCTACAGAGCCCGCCCTTTGCACGACAGTCATCTTGAAAACAATGCAAGCGGCGAAGTTGTGGTGAATGCACGTATAGTTCCAGTCAAAATTTCAGTACTGTGGTGAGTAGTTATTTTCTTACGTATATATATTTCATTGCAATTTATATAAGGTTATATGTGATTTGTTGATAAGTAGCATCCACTAATAAAAAATATCAGTTAAATACTTAATTCCGAATTATAATCTCAAATTTGTATCCCATTCATCAGTACCGTGTCGTCAGTTCCATGTTCGATGTTTCGGGTATCTTTTTTTCGCAAACTTCAATTTAAATTCTGCTTGCGCAGAACTTGTTTATTTAATGTCATTGCCATATCTAATAATTGAGATATCGGTATACCCAAAATCCACCAGCCGCCACTGATGTGTGGTATTATTTGATTTTAAGATATTCAATGTATAATATGCTCAAAGTTGCAATAAATCTTATATTTTCCAATAAATTATGTATTTAATTAGTACCCTGGTATACTCGTCACTTCCCTTGCATTCAAATTTAGAAAACACAGATATTTCAGAAACTGTTTGAAAAAGAGACTGGCCCGGTCTGGAACAGTATATTTATTATATTATCTATGTTCTCATAACAAAATACTGTTTAATTTTCTCCGAAAACTATATAAACAAAATGAGGTCAAAAGTTGCCCAACTTTTGTAGAATCACCCATGTATATTGGACAATTTGTTCGGGTGAGAAGCATCACACCACCTAAGATAACGAAATATTTTTTACTGGACCAATAGAATGGCCTCCCAGATCCCCAGATCTAAAACCATTAGATTTTTTCTTAAAAGGTCACTTAAAATCTGTGGTCTACAAAACTCACGAAAGCATTTTTATTCCAAATAATAACTTTACATCTCAATCTTAATGATAGTACTTAATAAACTTAAAATTCCTTATAACTAAAAGCGTTGTAAACATTTTATAATAAGAAAAATACGCGTCTCACAGAATTTCAAGTAGTTTTGAGTGTAAGAACTTAATATAAAACAGACATTGGCTTTTACGATAAACCAAACAACATACATATTCTATTATGAGCATAAAAAAATTACTAACTTTAACTCAATTAATTTCGGTTATATCGAGTTTTATTTGTCGACGTGCTTATTTGAGGATTAAGTTTCATTTTATTTTTTTTATTTTCTTAAAATTACACACTGTGAGGCATTTAATGATACACGTTTTAGGTTGATGATTAATTTTGGGCAATTTAGAAATGCTAAACTAGCATTTTATGAATCGGATCAAATTCATTAAAAAATTTTGCTTTGTCATTAAAAATAATGTGGAAATGTAATTATTATTATTTTCAAGGCAATTTATTACAAACATCTTGTTTTGCTAAACGAAAATTAGATTATAACAAACATTTTTTAGATTTAATAACAAAATCCTGTCAATAATTATTGTTATTTTTAAAAAAAGACCTTATTTTTACAAACCTTTTCGTAGAACCAGTAACATAAGTACACGGAAAGAAATGTTATGATAGAGTAAATCAAATCCATTTATTAATTTAAGAAAAAGCCAAAATTTATCCAATGTTTATTCTAAAATAGAATAAATCAAGAAAAAAACTGACAAATTTAAGTTTTTTATGATAAATATGTACTTTTCGCAAATGATTAATATGATCAAATTAAAATTAACATCCTTAGATAGACATAGACATAGACAAATGGTAAATCAAATACATTTTTTTCAGCAAAGTTAAGATTGGTAACAGAAAAAGTTTTTCTTAAACCAATCAAACATTAAGATTGGCTTTATGTAACGTTAAGCTTAATTTTCAAAGAAAAGATAGATAAGATCAACTCTTGGATTTTATCATTATATTCCTATTTGGATTAATTTTATCAAATAATATTTAAATAAAAACTAAATGGATTTAACTTTATTTTTACTAGTATTAGTAAGTAGTATCAAAAGTTGGATAGAATTAGTTTTATATTTGATTAATGTTAGTACACATTTTATAGGTATTTTTCTAAAATTCAGTAAATGTTTCTAATAATTTCATCTAGATAGGATTATTTTAATTTAAGCATATTTCAAATATATTTGTAATAAAAACAATAAAATAATTGCTTAATATCTATACATGTTTAAATTAAAATAATTCTGTCTAGATTGAATTATTTGAAAAATTTACTGAATTTTAGAAAAAGACCTATGAAATGTGTACTAACATTAATCAAATATAAAACTAATTCTATCAAATTTTTAATACGATTATCCAATATTTGACTGCATTATTAAAAGTCTGCTAAAATCAAGCTAATATTTTGACCAAATCTATAATATA